ACCATTTCAAAATACTTACCCTTCAGATCCTCCTGAACATATCCATAACATGCGAGCTTACAGAAGGGTTCTCAGAACAAGCACTATATAAGGATTATAATATGATCCTGATAGATGATACTCATTATTTTTAGATTTCCAAAGCCCATAAAATCCATAGATTCCAATGTTTGTCACTGGAGAACTCCGTTCGGATTGGCATCCATCTTTTCAGCATTTGTAAAAGAAGAAATCCCCTCAGATTAAATAGATTCGCATGGAATCCTCTCAACTTTGTTCAGTTTCTCCTGTATCCAAACCTTCTCATGATCTTACTCAGAGTACATCACGGTTGTGCTTCGAACAGCTTCACATAACTTATCAGAAGTCTTATAAAATTTCACTGGCATTCTCTATGCAAATACTTAGGAGATTCTTCGGCAGATCCACATTCATTATGCAGAAAATCATGTATCCTTAAGGTTTTCTAAAAAACATAGGGATTAGGTTTGATATTTTGTTGTTCAACGATTCGATATTCTTCTCACAAGATGCAGATAGAATCTTCTCTGATATTCATATAAATGATCATTCTGTCAAAAAGATTCTAAATTTTTGCAATTCTGAAAAAAAAATCCTCAGATCCATATGTTTTTCTATCAAAAACTTACATGGAATTAGTATTACTCTTTCTTCGAGAAGCTCCTTACAGCAATCTCCAGGTGTTATTTTTATGATCAAAAAGATCTTGGCAAAAACTAGAAGTAACATAGATGTAAGAATCGTTACCAAATCCTTTTTTTCTCATAAGAAACTAGGTAAAGACATCTGAATTTTTATCTGTGGAATGAGCATTCTCAAAGATGAATGTCATATTTGTAGCGCTTACTCCCACGAGAGACGGAATCCCTTTGACAACGACGATTTCTTTTCTTTTTTGTTCATTGTAGTAATTCTCAATATTCCAGTCGATGCCCGATGGAAACAGAATGGAGTGACTGTTGCTGGAGGTCATGGAGAAGGCAGTGCCACCAATCAACTCAACGGGCCTTATGGTCTCTTCGTTGATGATGATCAAATGATAGTCATCGCTGACTTCAACAATAATCGTATCATGCAATGGAAGATGGGTGATACGAATGGACAAGTAGTAGCTGGTGGCAATGGCGAAGGAAATCGATTGGATCAATTGAATTGGCCAACCGATGTGTTGATTGACAAAGAGACGGATAGTCTCATTATTTGTGATCCAGGGAATCGACGAGTCGTACGATGGTCTCGTCATAGTGGCACAACTCAAGGAGAAATCCTCATCGACAACATCAAGTGTTGGGGATTGGCCATGGATGATCAGAGATATCTCTACATCTCTGACAACGACAAACATGAAGTAAGACGATATCAAATAGGAGACAAGAATAGAACTATTGTGGCTGGTGGCAATGGCAAAGGTGCTGGTCTCAATCAACTCAACGAGCCGACCTACATCTTTGTCGATCAACAACAGGCTGTCTACGTGTCTGACAACTTCAATCATCGTGTAATGAAATGGAATAAAGGTGCAAAAGAAGGAATTGTCGTCGCTGGAGGTCAAGACGAAGGGAATGCTCTGACACAATTGTCGTATCCTAATGGACTGTTCATCGATACATTGGGTACCATCTATGTGGCAGACTCGTCGAATAGTCGAGTGATGCGTTGGCCTAAAGGAGCGAAAAAGGGCACTGTCATTGTGGGGGGAAACGGTTATGGAGAAGGAGCAAATCAGTTGAACTACCCCATGGGTTTGTCCTTCGATCGACATGGCAATCTCTATGTCGCCGATCGCAATAATGATCGTGTTCAACGCTTTTTAATCGAATAGACTCGTCGTGATAGATTTTTATTTGCATTCCTTTCCTTTCAAATAAATTGTATTGAATTGATGAAATGAATGGCTTATTCTATTCGCGCGCGCGACCAGGAACCATCCTGGTGGAGCCGTGGCGAGCGTAACGCTCATGCACGCGCAGGACAGACTCATATCATTCATACCCTCCCCGCGAGAGATATGTCAATGAGTCTGAATAAGCCTGGTCGTGTGCCACGGACACCAAGACAGTTCCTGGCCGAGCTTTTAGGGACTGCCCGGAAGTCCTTCATAAAAGACGAAACCCTAACCCTCAACGGACAGAACTCACTCTCATCTCCCACTAACACTCACTTTCGTTAGTCTCATTCTCACCCTCCTCAATCTCAATGTCACTATCAATTCTCAATTTTTCCTCTCCCTTATTCTCAACTCAAAAAAAAAAGAAATAATTACTCACGTGCTTTGACATTAGATGATGTTGTTCATGTTGGACGATGATAAAGAAGACGCGATGATGTTGAGGACTAAAAAGAAAAGAAAAAAATTTTAATCAATCTTATCATATGAAAAAGAATTTGTTAAGTTACCTCACTGTTATCGTTTCTCTTTTCATTTTTGAATACCTTAAATGAAAAATATATATATATACGAAAGAAATTTTACTTACTTTTAATATTTAATAGCTGAAATAAAAGAAAAACAAAATATCAGTGGGGAACTTACTACCCTCCATATTATTTTAAAAAGAAAAAAGAAAAAAGAAAAAAAAAGTAAACTAATACCTACATTTTTTTATTGTATTGCTTGTTATTGATTTGTTTAATGCTGTAACGTCGAAATCAACCTAAAATATAAAACAAAATCGTTATTATTTGATTCAAATAATTGAATGATTTCTTCGTTGAAAATCATTCATTTTTATACTCCCAAAAATTGTTTTTTTTCTTGAGCGAGAAAATATTCATTATTTTTTTTCTCGTCGAAAAATAATCAGACGTCGAGTTTAATCAAGCTTTATTCTAGACATACACATACATTGAGATATATTCGATCACAAATATCTCAGTGTATATGTGTGGATAAAGTTTAATTTTTTTCACACATTAATTGTACATGTTGATCATTGATCATCAATGATAACATGGACGATGACTTATGGACGAGAGAAGAAAAAAAGAAATATTGCTCTCTTGGCCTATTTCTTTTTTCTTTTCTGTCTCTCTCACATGTTTAGTATGCGTACAGAGTTGACGAATACACACTCACATGTAAAAGGTATGTTGTCATTTTTTTGTAGGGTATTTTTCTTTGAAGTAGATTATACATGTTGTTGAATCAGCTCTGCTGCTTGTCAAAATCAATACTTTCTATCAATAGGTGCAGATTACTATGTAATGTCAACATCAATGACTTAATTTGATTGTGAATTCATTCGATATAAATTCTTTGGACATCATTTAATATGGAAAAAAATGAAATTTAAATATATCATGCTAAACCATTATATTATATTATATTATATTATTTTTATTTGTTATATAAAATATAGAATATTAAGTCACACACACTGTCGGGCAATTCCGAAGCCGAGTTACGATCATTTTTATGAAGTTTTAACCGATTGAATATTAGCTGGAAAATTAAATAGAACATATTTCAGCTGAAATAATACAACAGCAATGAATGAATCCTCAACATGGGAAAAACAAAAGATTAAGATAATATATTTACATAATATTGTTTTTAGTGGTTTGGAGAATGTTTATGTTTTATGGATAACGCTGATGAATCCATGTATACAGTTAATTTAACTAGTAATCAAATAACAACGTGGCATTCGTCGTTCTTATTACTTTTATCATCAAAATATGATGACAGTTCATTACTTGATTTGCCCATTAAATACGACTATTAAATGAAAATGTCAAGATAAACATTCATATATAAATGAAGAAAATAATAATACACCAAATTCAAAACGTTTGAATAGTGCTACAAATAAGAATGTATTAGATAACAATATTGTTACAGGTAAGTTGGAATGAATAAATTTTTTCGAATTTAAATAATCAAAAGAATAAAAAAAATTCTATTTATTATTGTAGAAAAATAACACAAAATATTAGAAAAAGATAATTAGTATTGAATTGAAATTAAATTAAAAGAAACCGAACAAAATTATTGTTAACTGCCATGTTATTAAATATTATTCGAGTGAGATAATTATTCAATAGAAGATATTTTATTAGTTAAAAGACTCAAAAAAGACAAAGAATAGTAATTAGTGGAATAAATCTTGTCAATTAATATACTACTAATCGAGAAGTTTTCATAATATTGAGAATAATAATTATACACCCCTGGTGACCAATATCTTGTATTGTGAGCAAGAATAATTTTTAAAATGCATTGACTATTCAAAATTCGAGTTCAAAATTTTTTTAACATGATTTGACAAAGCCTGTCGAGTTACTTCTGAAAATATATTGTGTTTTTGATCTATTCGAATAATGTTATTATGGCAAAAGTTAGATTTGCAAAAAAAATCATAATATGATCAAGTCTCAATAGACTCAATATCTCTCTAAGGTTTTACTCATCATATACTTAGGAAAAAGAATCTATGTATGGTTTTGGAAAAATATTGTTTGATATGATAGCAAAATCCGAATACGAACTCGCATTTATGCTTTGTCATCGGATCGAAAAAATTGATTTTCTTGGTAATCAAACAATAGTTTTCAAAAAGAATGCATAAATTTTTTTCTGCTTGCTTATCAGTCGAATAAAACCATTAGAAAAGAATCATCGAGTGCAACAAGATTTGATGTTATTGACGTATTTCAGTTTTCATAGACTATTATAGAATTCTTCTCGTACTTAAACTAATCATTCATATTGTACAGTAGTGTTCGGCATAGGTTAAAATTCTTGTGATTCGACCTGAGTGACACACTGTTATTTGATTTAAATTGCAACAATGGTAAACTAGTTTTAATTTCCTTCCATTTCATTAACTTATCTATACAAATCGTTACTTTCATTTTCGAATGAACTATTTTTTAGTAACCAATTCCAATATTGTTTTTCACATAGTTTTTTTTTCTAGCAGATTTTAGAACACTTTATGCTAAAACAATGGAAGCGATTCATACGTTAGATTAAAAAAATGAATGCTGGTTTTTATGCTTATCTTAAGGTAATTTTATTTCATTGAATAGATAATGTAAAAAATAAAAATTATTTCGAATAGATTCGTGAATAAAATTGAATTCGGTAAACAACATTTAGCTGTATTTAATGATACAACCTATTCAAGGTTTATTTAAATGCACATTAACCGCATATATTGATTATCAATTATTAATTAATTCATTGGATTAATAGTGTTGATAATTGTCGAGTAAGAAAACGATTCCGACAGTATTAAGTACGTTTTGTGGTCGTTAAATTTTAGTCAGAGTTCCTTGCTGCACATCATGATTATATAGAAAAATTTCAAGTTATTGAACTTCAACAAGAATTAACAACAATACAACTACATTTAACTCGTTTTCTTTTCTCCGATTGTCTTGAATATATGCGAAAAGCATTCGGTATGAAAATATATTCCACTTATTCAATTGGGGAATATTCAAAGTTTATTTGATATTAATCCATCATCATTAGCAATTGATGATAAAATTATGGACTGTTTTTGTTTTTTGTGGAACTCACATTACGTCTTTCTTTTCGAAGAAAAATAGACTAAGTGCAAGTTTTAGAGACGCGCGACACAAAAATTTAGACGTTTGCTGAATTCTTACTCATCATATTTTCATTAGAATCTATTTCACATTTCTCATGGCATCCTGATGGTGGCCATTTATGAATGCGGTCATTATAGACTTTTACTTTAAAAGTAGTAACTATGAGAGATCAGACCCATACTCAACAAGTTCTATTGAGAACTATGAGAAAAGCAGTTACCTCAACTGACACTAAAGGTTATAAAGGTTAAATATTGTATGACTTTAAGTGTGTAAATAAAAAGAAAACGAATATTGAAGAAGTTTTTAGATGTGATACGATTCAACAGTGGAGTAGTTTTCTCTAGACAAAAACCCATACCCACACCCTTTACAGGAAATGGTGAAAGAAACTCATCCGAAAAAAGTAAAGAAAGTCAAAGATGAAAAAAATATGAAAATCATATTAACTTCAAAAACAAAAACGGGTAAAATTTGATTTCTCATATATTCATTTATAATCTGGTAGAAATTTTTCACTTCAAGTATTTGTGAGGAGTATAATGAGACTAAAGAACACATGTGAGTTCTACATTATAGTCCTCAACGAGCTGCACTGACACAATCCCTATTTTTATTTAAATAGAATTTTTCTAATTCAAGAAATTGAACAATTTGGAATACTTTGTTCAATTGATGGTCATACACATATCTTCATTATTATCGATTTCAACATTATCGAATAGTACTCATCATCATGGAAATAAGAAAATCGATGTACTTTATCAGTTAGCTAAAGCGATTCTCATAGTGTACAATTTTTATTCTAGTCTTCACTTATTCAAACATCACTTGAAAATTCAGACATTGATTCAGGTTGACGTTCAACTCTAGTTGTCTAAATTTATTAGATTTAGCACTTAAGCGGTTTGAAAATTTTCCTTTTTTTAAAATTAATTAACATTGAATAAATATGTCTATATTTGACTAAATTTTAGTGGTCTTCATAAAGCAAAGAAACGAGTAAGTGGAGCTTTTTTATTCAATCCAGAACCTAATAAACATTTAACAAAAAAAACATTAATTATCCAATTCATTTATTAGAACAGGAATGGTCGAATAGTTTCGATTCAAGTAAACAAATGAGTTTATTATGAAGACAAGTAAATATTTTAAATGAGAATTTCTCATAATTAAACTAATACATTCAGAAAATTCCGACTCATTGAACAAATGAAAGAAATTGGAAATGTGTGTGCTCATAAAGACTAGTGCTTCAATAGAAAAATTATTTAGTTCAGCTTGATTGACATTTACTCAACGACAAATACGTTTATCAAATAAGTCAAATTTGCAAATATATTGTTTATTCTTTCTTCTTGTCTATCTATTAATATTAAGTACGTTTTGAACAATTAATATTTTAAGTTTGTTTTGTTCAGCTTATCAAATAGTATGGTGGTCGATTATTCTGATTGGCTTTTTTCTTTGTTTTGACTTTATTGATATATTAAATCTCGAGAGAAACGAATGAAATAAGAACTATGGTTTGGTTCACTAGACATACCTACGAGGAAAGTAAAAGCGACTTCTACCAAATTACTTTTAAAGCAATTCAAAACTAGCTTTATTTACTAGATGAACAATTCAACAATCATCTCTAAGGTTATCAAGATAACATAGAGTACAAAACTCTTGATACTAATTATTCCTTTATGTATTGCTGAGTTAAACTTGCATTAATTGATGTTTGTACAGAACAAAATCAGTATTTTTGTCATTCATAATTTGTGTAAATTTATCGTGCCATAGAATTTCAGTCTTTTTTTCTGCTGCTATGTGAATATGTAATTAGATAAAGGATTTTGTAGAACTAACTTCATGATATAAAGCTAGGTTTTGAGTTGAATAACTTTTAGCTAAAATAAAAGAAAAAATGAACCACATGAAAGTTTTGTATTGATTTCAGTTTGGGGTTGTTTCAAACATCTATTTATCTTACAGAAAGTTTGAATTAGAAATAACTCAAGAGTACAGATTTTCAAAACAAAATGACCTGAAATTCTAATAAACTGTATTTTCGAAATTCACTATTTTCTCTATTAAATATCTAAAACAAGAAGGATCAATTTGTTGTAAGCCTTTACAGTAGAAGTTCTGGTTTTGACAAATTTTAGTTTTCTAAAATATGAATTTAGTGATCCTGATCTATGGTTGCCCACGAAGAAAAAACGCTTCAAGTTACGTGCCATCGCGAAGCTGTTTTCCTCATTTTGGACAGTTGCAATCTGCAAAAGCAGTATATAATTAGATGTTCAATATAATTCTTCAATAACGTGAATCACCGAACATTATTCAAGACATCATCAAAATTTTTGTTACTTTTTAGTTTACATATTAAAAAGACAAGATCAATTTTTAAATAAAATCTTATCAGGAACTTTTCTATCTATCGAAGGACAAACATCAGATGAGAATAAGAAAAGTTGATTGTCGAAGTAATGTTATTTCGAACCTTCGTTCTCCACATATCGAAATTTTACTGAATCTTTCAGCATATAAACATACAGTCCGTCTCAAATCATCTAGAAAATAGAATTTCGACTTTAAACTTTGCGCGAACAAAGTTCTTAACGAGATTCGTTAATATGGAAAATTTCGAATATTCAATATCTCAGGATAGGAAAAAAAGACCTAGAAAAGTTACAACTTGTCCAAAGAATTAATTTCATGTTCATGCAAAATTTGAATTCGAAAGTCGATCTTTCACATGACCTGAGTAGGACTACAAGTTTCTGTTGAAAGTTGAGTTTTTATTCGCTCTATTTTGATTGATATGATCTATTTGCCAAAAGAATTTAATAATATTTTTTCAATTTCGACTTCATTTATCTCTTTTTTTTAGGATCCATTTACGAAACTGTTCATCATTAGGATTCATCGTCATTTATACAATTTATTCAAGAACGTAAGTTCGTTGAAAATTACCTTTAATTCTTTCATTTGATTTCTATACTTTTACAGCGAATGTATAAACTGATAAAGAAATGACTATCTTTGTTTTCTCAAAACACAAAAACTTAATATGTTATTATCCTTTTTTGTTTCTTGTCGATGATTAATCTACTTTTCGGAATAATCTTCTGGAATACTATTTTTGTTCACAGTATTTTTTTCTTTGTGTAGTGATTAGGTGTGATGCAAAATAAGAACTGATAATTGAAAGAAGAAAACAATGCATTTTTATGACAAATGAATGACTCATCTTTTATAGTATATGAAAAAAAATTTCTCTCAAAACCTTTGAACAGATACGAAAAATTTGGTTTTGACCGAGGCCTTCGCGCCTACTAATCCTGATGAAGAAGGCTTTTAGCTGCACAAATGTGTTTTTAAGATATAGCTGCTATAAACTTACTCGTCTTTTCGTTTTATAAGGGACAGTGACATCCTTTGTTGATATACAATCGAAGACTGTGTCTCAATTCCGTCTAGTTAACTACTTCCTTATTGCATTTCTGGAGCATCAAGTAACAGAATGATGAAGAAATTTCTTCTAAGTTAGACTGAATAAAACAATCTTCTTGTGATTAACAACGTCATGTTTTCACACTTTAATCCCGTACGAAGTGCTCTGATGATACGTACTTTACTTTTTGTCAACAATGCACCTCATTTGGATATTCTTACTGGATCTTTGTTAAATGCTAATGTTTTGTTGCTAGGTAAAATCAAACAATTTCTTATCCATTTTTTCATTGTTAATATTAAGTTTAAGGTATTGTCGGTTGAAAAATTACAATACTTTATATATTTGTGGTACTCATGAATATAGCACAGCAACTGAAATAAAAGCATTGAAACCGAAATATACACTACGAGAAACTTGTGATAAATATTTTGATTTATATAAAAAAATTTATAGATGGCTTCAATAATAACGTTGAACAATTATATTGTGATACTTGTCAACGGTACAGAATTTGTTTGCATTTTTTTTTTTCTAATTTTGTATACATTCATTTATTTGAAGTTTTCTGACAGATCGTTATATAGTTGGTACATGTTCAGATGCAGCATACAAATTTGATGATACTCGTAGTGACCAACGTGATAAGTGTGCAAAATTAACTAATGGTGTTGAATGTATTGATACAAAATGTCCAATTTGTCATAGTATACTATCAATTAGAAAATCCGAACATTTATCTCATGTCGATTAGAAAGATTTTAAGAATGAAAGAGAATTGTCAATTTACACATGATTAGAATTTCTTTATCAAGTTATGGTTGGTTTTTTTTGTCAAACTTCTCGAATATTGGTCAGTCTATGGTCAATTGATCCTAGTCTTCAATAATTTATCCAAGGCTACATAGTATAGAGAAGAATGGCGTCTAGATTCGAACCTACTAGCTCTCACATACATGATGGCATTCATAGTCACTGATCCATGGTGGCTACTCTAGACATGAGCAGTGCCATGTCTAGACTCTTATAGAGATAATCCGTTCCATTCTACTGCATTTCCAATTATTAAGTATTTGAATTTTCAAACTCAACGCGGAAATAAACAAGATTCTCTTCATTCTTACTTGTATGTCATAATAATCTATAGTTTTAATGACAAGATGGTCAGAAAAATCACAACTAACTACAGGTTCTATATGTTCGAAATGAACACTTTCAATTTATTAAGTATATTTTGATCAATTCAATTAAAATCTTCTTTGTTTAACATTGATTGTAAACCAGTAAATTTAGTAAGTTCACGAAATTCTTTTATAGTAAATGACAATATTTGGATTAATCTACATCGATCAACAAGTATCATATGTCGTATTCGACTTTGACGAATTGTATCCAGTACTATGATATCAGTAATACTTGTTTTAGCTAAGTCTTCGATTGATAAAAGAAGAATTTTGAGTACAATCAAGTTGTACCCAAAATGGAGCATTTTCTAGTACACTTGTTTGAAAAATATTTTTTTAAATAATGGATTAAAAAATATTTTGTTTTTCATTTTACTATTATACAATCCAACACAATCTTTAGTAGAAAAAAAAATACTTTCTAATGTTTTCTCGCCAAGAATCTTAAAACTACGTTCAATAGATAAACTATAAGCAAATATTATAATAAAATTCTTATAGTTCTTTCACATGTTCATGTTTCACTACAGTTGTAAATGTTGGTATAATATTTTTTACTTCTGAATGATTATGTGCAAGAGAAAAATGAAGATAACTTTTCAATCATATCAATTGTCGCTGGCATTGTGTGATGAAGTGTAAGTAAAAAACCAGATGGACCACTACCTATGATACAAATGCGTATGAGTGATGAAAGTAATATAGAATTGTTAGTAACTATTGAAAGTGATCGTCGAATAAGACAATATACGAAACTATGTTCAATAACATGAGTAAACATTGACAAGATATTAAAGATACATCTAGAATATAATATGGAACGTAATTTCTATAAAAGTTTTCAATGTTTCACTTATAAATATTCGTTCTTAAGACTAAACATAAATTTTCAGAATAAATACTCATTCTCAAATTTCCTAGTAAAGTTCTTATGACTCTCGTTTATAGTTTATGGGATAAGAAAAAAAACTTCTTGAATATTTAAATTCGAAGAAGAATGAATATAAAATATAGCAATTGTCAAGATATTAAAGAATGAGTCTTCTCTCACTTACAACATTAATTACAAGTACAGAATAAAAATTTTACATACAATTCTTTTGAAATATTCGTATGCAATTAAAAATTAAAACATTAAAATTTCTAGTTTTTTGCCATTTTTCAATCCTGTTTATGAATATCTTGACTACTGAAAGTAACCAAATATCATGTTGAACATGTTTTCTTTTCACATTGAAGTTACAACAATATAGAAAAAAAAAGCGTAATGCTATTTTTCAGTTTTTTGTCTTTTAATTTCAATCATAGGTCACTCGCTTGTATAGAATTGTGAATCGTATGGTGTACATATTTGTTGTTGAAGGAGGTATTACATGTTATGTAGTTATTCTAGATAGGATTCATAGTCAAAAATAATCATGATAATTAGGGAATGATTGTATCAA